CATGGAGAATATGTTGGACTCATGGTTATTCAAGCATATTGTTTTTCAAGAGGTGACCCAAGACAATGTTTGCCTTATACCCATATCAGCACATGGTACAAATCCTGCTAGTGCTACTATGTGTGTGGAATGTTACAATAGTAACTTATGTTAAGGGAATTATTAACTTTAGAGTTGAAAAAGACCGCTGAAAAACACAAGGACAACTTATCTGCATTTATGGTAACATATCTTTCAGCTCATACTTTTCATGAAGATGGTATTTGTAACGCCCGTAATTTAATTAATTATTTAATTAAATTATTTTTGAAATATTTGTGATGATGTTTTATAATTAATTGGATTTATTTTATTAAGTAGAGAAATAATATTCACTACAAGAAAGATGGTCCCCAGCGACATATATTAGCGACGTGGTTATCACGTGAGTAATAAATACAGTTGCGACGTGATAACCACGTCACAAATATATTTTAATGATACATAACGCAAGTCAGAGGTGGTTGTTTGGAAAAAGAATCAGCGACGTGTCTTACACGTCGCTACAGAAGGGGGAAATTTGAAATTTGGTAGTGACGTGATAGCCACGTCGCTACATTAAAGGGGGGAAATTAAAGTTGATTGATGACAGGGTGACAGAGTGGGAAAGTGAATTATATTTCTGTTGAGTGTGTAGCGACGTGAGTATCACGTGGCAATGTTGCGACGTGACAGTCACGTCGCTACTTGATGTTTACATCTCCACAAAATTCTCATCCGTTACAGCATCTGGTGTGGTTTGTTTCCTCTTCCTTTCTTCTTCCTTTCCTCTTCCTTTCTTCTTCCTCTCAAACCCAAATTCCCAAATCAAATTTCCTCTATCCCAAATTGTTGAAGAAGAATAAGGTATTCATATTTTGATAAATTTTTATTTCATTTGTTCATTATTTATTATACTGGTAATAAATATTAAAAAGGGTATTTTGTTTAACCTGTAGAGAAATTTGAAGAAGAACACCAAGAGCTACACAAGAAGAAGCAAATTAAGTGAAGAAATTATATAGAGGTATTTATGCATTTTTTTTATATTTTATATGTATTATATAGATTAGTAGTATATGTATTTTGTTTATGTGAATTAAAAAAATATTTTACTTAATTTTAGTTTTAGGTTAATTAGTATTATAGGTTAATGTTTAAAATAAAATGAAAATTAGAATGTTTTATATATTAATATATTATTAAACAGAAATATTATTGTTAATATATATAGGTTAATATTTATTAATATTATTGCATGTTATATATATAGACATATAAAAAAAAATTGTTAGTATATACGTATAAAATAAAAAAAAATTGAATATATATTAAAATAAAATTTTTTAGAAAACATAAAATTAAAAGTCTTATTTTTTATAGATGTATATATATATATATATATATATATGTTAACACATAAATTTAATAACATATTTAAAAACAAAAATGTATATTATATTTATTATAATAGTTTTATTTTTTTATTTATATGTTAAAGATATGAAAAAAAAATTATATATTAAAATAAGAATTTATAAAAAACATAATTAAAAAAAGAGTATATATATTATATTATTATTTTAATATTATTGTTATATATATAATAAAAAGTATATATGTTACATTATTTGTTTTCTAATATTATTGTTGTATATATAATAAAAAGTAAATATGTTATATTATTGTTTTTTGATATTATTGTTATATAATAAAAAATTATATATTTTACATTTGAATATTTATTTATATGTTAGTATATATATATAAAAAAGCAAAATTTATATTTTTAAGAATAGTATTAAATAGTTTAAGAATAATATTATTAAGTTGATTAATATTTCTAATGAAAAAGACAATGATTGTATAAATGTGCAGTATGGAATATTATCGGTATTATCGTAGTTGGATGTACGATAGAACATATCCAAGAAAAAGTGGACTTAAACCCAATTTTATAGTAGGAGTTGATGGGTTTATTAAGTGGGCGTTTGCTCAGGATTGTTGTCGAAGCGAAGGAGGGGTTAGGTGTCTCTGTCTTAAATGTGAATGTAGACCAATAATTAGTGACCCAGAGGAAGTAACACGTCATCTGCATAGAAGGGGATTCATTGAAAATTATTGGGTTTGGACGTATAATGGTGAAGAACTACCGGTTAATGTACCAGAGACTAGCAACACGCATGCTTCAAGTAGTCGACCGGTTATGGAGTATGAGGAGAACTTTAATTTGATCGGTGACATGGTTGAGGATGCTTTTGGTGTGAACGTGACATATGATGAACCTGGAGATTTTGACGGGGAAGAGTTGTCGAATGAGGAAACGCAAAGATTTTATCAATTATTGAACGAGATGAATACGCCGTTGTTTGAGGGGTCGTCAGACTCAAAGCTATCAATGTGTGTGAGATTATTGGCCGCCAAGTCAAATTGGAATGTTTCTGATCAATGTCTGGAACATTTTGCAAAAATGATGTTGGACTCCACCGCTACGAAAGATAACTTGCCTACAAGTTATTATGATGCAAAGAAGTGGGTGTCGAAGTTGGGTTTAAAAGTAAGAAAGATTGACTGTTGCATTAACGGTTGCATGTTGTTTTATGACAATGAGTTTGGTACTCAAGATGGATCGTTAGAGGAGTGTAAGTTTTGTAATAGTCCAAGATATCAAGTTCGCAGTAGAGCCGTTAACAGCAAGCAAAAGCGTGTAGCAGTAAAATCCATGTTTTATCTTCCTATAATACCAAGGTTAAAAAGAATGTTTGCTTCAATGCACAGTGCAAGTCAAATGACATGGCATCATACAAACCAAACAAGTTCTGGAACTATGCGACATCCATCTGATGGTGAGGCATGGAAGCACTTTGATCGGACACATCCAGATTTTGCTGCAGAACCTAGAAATGCCAGGCTTGGATTATGCTCTGATGGATTTGCCTCATACGTGCAAGCGTCAGGAAGTGCGTATTCTTGATGGCCAGTTATTGTAACACCTTACAACCTCCCTCCTGAGATGTGCATGACAAAACCATACATGTTTTTGACGTGTGTTATTCCAGGCCCGCACAGTCCAAAAGCCGGAATTGATGTGTACTTACAACCTTTAATTGATGATTTGAAGAAGATGTGGATTGGAGAATGGACTTATGATATATCCCGTAAACAGAACTTCACATTACGAGCTGCCTTGATGTGGACCGTTAATGACTTTCCAGCATATGGCATGTTGTCTGGTTGGGGTACGCATGGAAAAATGGATTGTCCGCATTGCATGGGATACACCAAAGCATTTACGTTAGATAAAGGTGGGAAAAGCTCATGGTTTGACTGTCACCGCAGATTCCTACCAGCAAATCATCCATATAGAAGAAACAAGACAAATTTTAAAAAAGATGTACGAGAGAAAGATTTGCCTCCGCCTCGATTGCCACCAGGGGTTATATGGAACCAAGTATGTGAACTACCAAAATTTACAGATACTGGCAAAGCATGCCGAATTGAAGGATACGGCGTCACCCACAATTGGACAAAAAGAAGTATATTTTGTGATCTTCCGTATTGGAAAGATAATTTGTTGCGCCATAATCTTGATGTTATGCATATTGAGAAGAATTTTTTTGATAATGTATTTAACACAGTGATGGATGTGACAGGAAAAACAAAAGATAATGAGAAGGCCAGACAAGACATGGGAATTTGGTGTAATCGAAGAGAGTTGGAGTTGAAGCCTCAACCGAATGGAAAATTATTAAAACCCAAGGCTTGTTTCAGTCTGACTTCCCAAGAAGCTAAAGCGGTTTATCGATGGTTAAAAGAATTGAGAATTCCCAATGGGTATTCATCAAATTTAGCAAGGTGTGCTGACCCTAACACTGGAAAATTACATGGTATGAAAAGTCATGATTGTCACATTTTTATGGAACAGTTGCTACCTGTAATACCTCAAATTTGTCCTACCCTTTTACTTCCTATCTGGCTTACGCATTTTTGAATTTTTCTCACATTAGGTCATCTAACACATCATGCATCATTAATCAATAAATTGGCATAAGATCATGGATTTCGAGGAATAAGGGTTGGTGTATGGCTTTAAGGCTCCCATCTTCGCACAAGCTTGTTTCGGTTGATTTCTCCATTAATAATCTGTTTGAAGCTAGGTTTTCATTTCATGGACCTTATCATCATCAAGCTACGATGATATTCTTTTCCTCCCAATGTCAAGTTGCAAGGTTTTATGGGACGAAGCTAAAAATCAGGGTTTATACATTTTCATATTTGAGCTTGTCAGCATTCTACCTGAGGTTCATTCCATATCAAGGTATTCGCATGTCTCATCTTCCATATTCATCTGCAAAGAATTCCTCAGGGGCATAGTCATTATCATCTATTGAAAAGGGGTCTAAGACGTCACTGTTCTAGCGCTCATATAGTCGGGACATGGTACAAGATGTTGATTGTGATCAAGGTGTCATATTTCAAATGCTTGTTACTTGACACACAAGTTTGGTTTAGATCGGAAAATTGGATTGAATTAGGGATTCACTGAAGCTGTAGTTTGATTAGAATTCATTCATTAATATTTGAAGTGGATTTGGAGAAAATCAAAGTCCTTAAATATTTGCGTGGCTTTTCTTGGAATTCAAACCACAAGTATGAAAAAGCATGCATCAAATTCATCCAACCATCAAAATATTGTCCGAATAGCCTCTCTTGGATTCATTCAAGATTCATGTCTCTTTTGGTTACCTTGTAAATATTTTGGATTCATACCATTTATTTGAATTCATACAAAGGCCATTTCATTATGTGGAAATAAAGTCAACATACATTACAATTATTCAAATACATACGAGTCCAAATTCCATTACAATTATACATAACATCTATACGTTTTTACCAAAACCTATCCTAATTTTCAATCATTCTTCATGTTTTAAACTTCAAGTTTCCAACACTTCGTGTTATGCATCTTTGTTCCAACTTCATATCATCTTGGTGTTTTCCTTTTGCCTTTGCTTTCCAATAGCCCTGATATGAACCAAACCTACATAAACCATATTTTTATTTTAAAAAAACGAATCTGAACATCAAAACCAGTTTAATAGTTCAAAAGTAAACCTGCAACAACCGAGATTTCGCGGTTAAATCACTCCAGTCCAATAAACAATCCAAAAGGGAAACAACCAATTCAAGTATCCAAAGCAAGAAAAGGAAAAACAAACCATCACTGATGCACTTCAATACATGCTATAGTTCAGCACTGGGATCAAGTTCGGAATAAATGCAAAATGAGTCCATACAAAACAAGTTCACGTGCATCAAAATTCAGCCATACAAAACAAGGGTAGTAAATCAAAGAACATATATATCATCCGCAGTCCACCCTATTTTCAAGCGTCAATATTCAATCCAATCTACTAACTAGTTTCTTTTACATACCTATAAACTTCACCAACAGTTTTTTATATGGCTTAACCCAAGTTTCCACCAACCACTAGTTTTTGCTGGTGTTTGCTAACCCCTTTCTCAGTTGGCTCAAATTGATGAACTAACCTGCAAACTAACCAAATCCCCTTAACAGAAATTCTCACAGTTTACAACTACCCTATAACTGAAACTGAAATCGAACTCCAGCTATCACAATAACTACAGCCTAACAACTTTTCTTAACTTTCTAACCAGATCCAAACTAACTTAACTAGTAACAAATTCTTAACTGCATCTCAGCTTCCTAACCAAAGTCATAATTCCCCAACCAACTTCCCGCAACTGTTTTCTATAACCAACTAACAGAATTTCTAACATTATCCTAACAGAACTTCTAACTATAACCAACTTCCCACTTCCCAAATCCTAACTAACTTAACAAACCATAACAAACTTCCAGCATATATAAATAGAGTACACAACATATGCATAGGGATGGATAGAATAGATACGATTTCAACAGAAAAAAAAAGATGGGGATTACCTCTCAATTTCCCAGAAGAATCACCGCCATCATCAAAGCCTGAATCAACTTCACCATCTTCAAAGCCTGAATCAACTTCACCATCTTCAAAGCCTGAGTCACCGCTATCGTCAAAGCCGAAATCATCTTCACGATCATCAAAGCCTGAATCACCGGAATCATCAAAGCTGATCGACATTCCTCAAAGGATACTACGAGATTTCCAACTGGTATCATCACCATCAAAGTTTGGATCACCGCGATCATCAAACCCTGAATCTCCTTCAAACATTCCTCAAAGAATACAACGAGACTTCAACCTGGACTCACCATCAAAGCATGGATCGCCACAATCATCAACGCATAAATCAGGAAACAAGATAAAAGAAGAAAGAGTATCGGAGGTGAGAAGAGTAATGAGAAGACGTACCTGTACGTCAAGGCCTTCATCGGGACGGCAACGGCAATACCGAGCGGTATAGATCTGACGTGAAACAAGGAATCTATGTAGATGGAAACGTCGAAATCGCAAACGAGGAAGTGACAGCATTCACGGCGGAGATGGAACCGTTGATCGGAGAAGAAGAGAAGACGGCTTTGGAAACTAAGACGGAGCAAAGCGAGGAGATCGCCGGTTGAGAATAGCTGTACACGATTTCGCTCTTCCTTCAACCAAAATCTGGTTTTGGGAATCTTCGTCGTCGTCATTGCGTTCAGCGTAATCTGATTGAGCGGAGAAAGCTCGACGATTCTGTTCGCCGCGAGAGAGGAAGAGACTTTCTTTTCTAACCCTAAAATTCCCTTTTCAATTTTCATATCTTTTCCTTTTTTAGTTTTAATTATTGTACAATTTTATTTTTGTTTTATTATTTTTTAATTCATATTAATAATAAAGAAAACTAAATTGATAATTAAACATATGTTAGAAAAATGAGGAATTAATTAGACTGGGCCTCACTTTTTACTTTAGGCCCGTGTTGTTGTTTTTTAGCCTGAAGAAATTGAACAAAAAACTCTTTTTAGGCAAATTACTGCACTACACCCCTGAATTTAGCTCATACCTCCTGACTCTTCTAATTTTTCTTTTTTATTATTTTAGTTTTCTTCTAGTTTAATTTTCTTTCTCAATTGATAATAAGATGATACAAAATAATAGAATATTTTAGAATTCTTTAGAATTTCTTTTTAGAATTTCGATTAGAATTTTTTCTATTTTATTTTTCATATTCGATAATCATTTTTATTGCCATTTTCTAGTCAAGATTTTTGTAGCATCGACATAACTCTTGCAATGTGGAATGCTCGGGGTGAATTCTTCAATTACTCGCCCAAGGAAACTTTGATAGAATCCTCTTACCGCTTGCACAATTTTGAAGAGGCAACGGACCTTCTCCGTTCGATATCGTCGCAAATCTATTTTATTCTTCATTTTCGTACTTTATCGCAATCCATATGCATACTAACATCATGTAGAAATTTCCCCTTTAACCTAAATCTTATGGCTACTAACGCACGATAACATTAGGTTTAGAAATAGGCTAATTTCCTTTTGACTTTTCTTTCTCCTTTCGCATTCGCACTTAAAACTAAAACTTCTTTTTCTTTCAAAATTCAAAACACTTTAAAACTATTGATTCGAATCATGCTTTTGCTTAGTACGAGAAATGATAAGCGGGTCTCTTCTCGATCTTATTGTTCTTCATCTCAAGCATAGATGTGGTTTAATTCTCAAAGACTCCTTTCGTGACTAAGTAGAAAAATGGCTAATATCTCTCTCTTGAGGTCGACTAGTCATTATCTGCAATAAAAATACAAAACAAATTCAAAACCTTTGTGCGCTCGAGCACCTTTTCTTTTAAACCCTTTTCAGGTAAGGACATGATTAATTTACTTCTGTGCCAACGCATAAGTCTCCAAAGGTCGAGCTGCGGCAGAAGGCGGAATTAACTTCGTCCATAAAAAACACAAAACAAACAAAACATGTGAGCCGAACTACGGTAGCTCTTATTCCTTAAAACGGATACGTAGGCATTGGGGTAGGGCCCAAGCGAGCACAATTTTATTTTCCCTACATTCTTTTTCCCCTTTCTTTTGCATGCATTCTCCCTTTAGCAGTAATAGACAGTAAGCATAGATTAAACATACCCATAAGACAGATAACAAGAGTGGATACCGTAGAGTACTACGGGCGTGTGGGGTGCTAATACCTTCCCCTCGCGTAATAGACTCCCTTACCCGATATCTCGGTCGCAAGACCGTGACTTCTCCCTCATCAGGTTTTATCGATGTTTACCTTTCCCTACATGTGGGATAAAAGACGTTCGATGGCGACTTCATTGTTTTGATGATTTTGAGCCGGTTGTTTCAGCTGGCGACTTCACTGGGGACTAGGTCGACCAAGTGCTGGTCCATCCCGGAGTCGCTCCTAGCTCTTCTTTTCTTTTCTTTGGGTGTTTATCTTCACGCTTTCGGTTTATTCATTCATTTTGTAATACTCAAGCATACATACGCATTGTATTTACTGTCTTCCATATACTACTGCTGTACAGGATCTACTTCTTATTGGGTTGGGATGTTACTTTTGAGGTAAAAGGCCCAGTACCCATGCCAGAGTGCACTAGGACACCTAGGAATAGAGTGGGGGCATGACGGCTATAGGACGTGGTCCGATTAGTGCAGTCATGTCACATACCACGCTCGGATGAGGTTCAAATGAATTACTATCGGCACCCACGTCTGTGGGTAAGCCCATAGCACTTTCAGGCGGACCCGTGATTTTCGAGTTACCATTATCTTACCCTGACCTAGTTTCACCCGTGAGTGGGGAGGGAATTTCTATCTCAGGTACAGATGGTGACTCATATTCAGATGATTACTCGTATTCAAATGATGACTATGCTCAAACAGTGACTATCGGTTCTATTGGATATGCTCTGAAACTCTGTCAATGGTTAGGAGGTTCTCAGATTTATTTTCTGAGTCCCGAATCTGTTCATAAGATTGTATGGTTTATGTTCTGGACCTATGATCCTGGTACTTACAAGCTACGCGGAGACAGTACAGCAGATATTGGTATCATGGAAGTAGTAACACCATGATCATTTTGCATTTACATCTAACATGTTTATTTCTCAACAAAAAAAAATGTCAGAAAGATGAAATTATCAACCTTGCATATGCATGTCCACTTTGGATACCTCACTGGCATAATTTTCGCCAATAACATTTGGCAACGGTGATGTTCTCAAGAAAACTAAAGGAGACAATCATACTTATTTGCACTATTCAAAGTTTTCCGCTCAAGTTCTTGGCCTTATTTGAAGAATCTAGAGGACCATTTTCGTCATTTCGACCCTATTTCAGTCTTACAGCTACAAGTTACACATTCTAGGACTACCAAATTGTTCCAATTCCGGAAGGACAATCCTCTCTGCTGAACACCAACCTGTCGCCAAGTCCGGATAGGCACAATTTTGAAATTGTCGCTAAGGCACTTTATTTGAGCCTAAGCGACATGAAAAATAACCTACCCCCGAACTAATCATTATTGTTACCAATTGCTCACACTCCCATAACCTTCTTATATTCAGTTCTGTGGATGTCTTCTTCATGTGGTCATTCTTATCATCATGTTGCTCGATTACTATTGACGGTAGTTGAACCATGGAGAACCAGAGTGGACAATCATTTCATGCATCATACATATCATGCATTTCATAAATTGCAGGTTTGCTGGCAGGAGTTCTTATCTGATGATTTTGCCTTTTATTATAGAATCTACAAGACGACTTCCATACATCCTTATCGCACTCGAGCCAACAAGTTGAGGATCATGGAACAGATTGAGCAGAACCAGGCCTCTCTCCGCAAAGACATGGACACCATGGGTGACCGGATGAACCAACTCATGGAAACTCTTCATGCCGTCATCCAAGGGCAGGAAGAGCTCAGAATAAGCGTCACAAAACTGGTGGACATTGCCTCCACATCCGAGAACGGCGGACCCAAGAATAATCATGGGGGAATTCCTAAGGAGAACCCACAGATGATTATAGATGACCACCATGATGTCATTGATCTCGATGACCCTCCAAAGGGTTCTACGGCTGATCTGTCTGAAACTGCTAAGATGTACAAGGCTCTGAAAGAACGCTTAAAGGCTATGGAGACTTCTAAGAAACCAGGATTCAGTGCCGCTGCTATGTGTTTAGTTCCGGGGGTTGTGATTCCGCCGAAGTTTAAAGTACCCGATTTCGACAAGTATAAGGGAGTTACATGCCCAGAGACTCATCTCCGATCTTACTGCAGAAAGATGGCTGCTTATGCTAGCAATGAGGCGCTGCTTATGCATTTCTTTCAGGACAGTCTTGCTGAAGCTCCATTAGAATGGTACATGCAATTGGAACAAACTCATGTTAGTAATTGGAGTGAGCTTGTTGATGCTTTCTTAAAACATTATCACTACAACACCGCCATGGCACCTAGCCGTGCGCAGCTGCAGGGTATGTCTCAAAAGACTGGTGAGTCCTTCAAAGAGTACGCCCAGAGATGGCGCAGTTTGGCCGCAAGAGTTCAAACTCCTCTCCTAGATCGAGAACTAGTGGATTTGTTCATGAGTACCCTTCGAGACCCGTATTTGCAACATATGCTCAGTAGTACTTCTGACTCGTTTTCAGATATGGTCATCATCGGGGAACGGGTTGAAATATGTGTTAAAGTGGGGACTATTTCAGGTGCATCTGGCACGAATAATAACAACAACTCAGGTGGTGGGAAGAAACCATACTCTAGCGGTTTCGTCAAGAAAAAGGAAGGAGAGGTGAGCAATGCCTCCGATGATAAGGGGAAGGCTACTATACAAGTTCCATATTACCAGACCCCCGCGGCTGCTCCGCAACAACAATACGCACCGCCATGAAAATATCAACAGAACCAAAGGCCTCAGGGGCAGAGGGGTCAACAAAGGCAGCAAAGGTACCCCGAAAGGAGGATCGATCCAATCCCGATGCCGTATGCTCAATTGCTTCCATAATTGCTAGCCGGTCAGTTAGTACAACTTCGAGAGTTAGCTCCTCCGCCAGCGGAACTCCCAAGGGGTTATGATGTTAACGCACGTTGTGAATCCCATTCAGGTGCTCCAGGCCACTCGATCGAAAATTGCAAAGCTTTAAAATACAAGGTGCAATCTCTTTTAGATGCCAAGGAGTTAAGCTTTGCTCCTATAGGCCCCAATGTTCAGAATAATCCTATGCCTCCCCACCATGGGGTTGCTGCCAACGCTATTGGGTTTGACAATGACCATGACTTAGTGACTCAAGTTGAAGAGGTTCAGATGTCAATGGCAGCCCTAAGAGAGCATCTTTTACAGCAGAAAGTTCTACAAGAGCTTCATAGTTTTTGTTTGAAGTGCTCGTCCAATCCAGACGAATGTGACGATTTGAAAAATTCCATTCAAAAACTGATGGACGAAGGGATTGTCAGAGTTGAGAAAGTCGTTCCCGAAGGTGATGTCGCTATTTTGGAAATTCCGTATTATCCGGCCGATGTTCAGAGAAATGCTTCAAGAGTTCCATTGGTTATACAGGTTCCAACGCACCCTGCACCAAACCTAAATCCGGTTGCTCCCCTGCCAACCCAAGCATCAACACTTCCAAGTTCTGTTCCCGATTCGTTAACTGACAACAGGGCAGTGCCATGGGAATACAACA